CGAAAACAAAAACAAAGCCTGTGCCTTACCTTCTTCCCCGGCGAGCTCACCTAACATCGCCGACCTCCGAGCAGGCCCGACCTTGAGCTCTCCTCGCCAGCAGCAAGCCCAGCACAGCCAGCTCCAATCCTTTCCACTCGCAGGCAAAGGGTCCGCCATAGCCGTAGAGCTCGAGATGCCGGGAAGCACAGCCACCTTCCGGCAGCCGTTTGGAGAACCCGACGTCCGTCCGACTGAAAAGCGACGTCCTTTTTGCGTTCTCGGGCAGCCCCCAATCCGTCCAAGCGAGCCGTTCGTGAGCATTAGCCATTCGTCGAGCTTCGAAGCCGATCGTCCGACCCGCTGTCGGGCCCGTTTCCCATCCGATAACTCGTAGTTTCCCGATGTTGGGTAACTTATTTTAATCCTCTCGTTATTGCGGTCGTTCTCATATCTCGCATGATAGATATATATATCGTTCGGACCACGGAATCCTTGTTTATTTTCCTATGTATATAAGTTATGTGATGGCATGTTTAACTTGGTAGGAAATGAAACGTGTTGATGTGTCAATCTTGTGCCCTCTTGCTGTATTGTGCTCTCTTGATGTGCTAATGTTGTGCTGCTCTTGCTGAAAAATATGCCTAACCGAGCCTCTATTAATCCTTTTCTTTAAGTCTATTTTTAAGAAATTTGGTTGAACCTTTTAATCCTTTTTTTGTCGCTGAAATGATGTTTTAGAATTAGTTTCTAAAAGATAAAATGGGCATGCTTAAACTTGGTAGTGGATAAAAAAATGTGAGGAGTTCTTGTAGTGCTTTGAGCCTTTTTGGTATGCTTTACATGTTGAGCCTTAGGAAATGAATTCATGCCGAAACGGATGTTCTTAGATGCCTTTGTATCTGAGTTCATTTGGTCCCAATATGTGTTGAATGTTGATTGAGAAAAGAAAATGAAAAGAGCATGGTATGGGGTAATCTTTGATCTCTTTTCGGATGTGTTGTTGCCGAGTTTATTTAATGTTGAGAGGCTGATTTTTTTTTAAGCAATTTCAGAGCTTTAGATCAGTTACTAATTAAATCCTTTGTCATTTGATATGATAGTTAAAAAAAAGAATGGAGGCATGATTGGTTAATGTTCATGTGCTTTTGATACTAATAAGTGGAGTATATTATATGCTGAATATGTGGTTTAAGTAACTAGATTCAGAGAAAAATGGGCTATGAGCAATGGTGA